GTAAATTAATTGGAACCCAATTATAATCAAAGAAATTCCAAAGGCCCAACAGGGCAAAGAGTCTATATTCGGTCCTCCAAATTCGATCAAATGAAATCGTGACTTATTCACTCCAAGACATGTTGTCCGTGAACAAGTCCCGAGGGGGCATTTGTAGACAATTAAATTTTGAGCCAATAAAATGGCGACAAGTGTCAAATTCCATGTCAAAATCAATTTAATAATTTTCTATTTTATTTGGGAAATTAATCAAATTTTAATTCCTAAATTAAATAGTTAATTAATTGATTATTTAATATATTTTGAAGGCCAATTAAAGAATGCCACATGTCATTTTCTTGGAGAGTAAACTAAATATTTATTTCTGTTAATAATTATTAAAGAGATAATTAAGTGGAAATTCATGGACCAATCAAATTGAAGTCTTCTTTTCCAAGACTCTCTCCCCTAATTATCTCTTTAAATACTCGCTTGTTCATCCGTCCTGTGATTGGGTAGGTTTCATGCCACGGAGGGTAGAGTCTTCGCTTCCCAAATATGTTGAAATTCAACCAAGGCTCGACCAGAAAATCCGGGAATCACGGTCCGTTGCCCTCGGCATTCGCACTGCCATCTCGTCCGAGGTATAACCCTAACATAAAGTGTTCTCTTACACTACCATGAGCCAAAATGAGCTCTCGGGGGAATAAAGTTATCAAAACACTATTCACCTCGACTGATAGAGCAATCCGACCAGATCTCCATCTACGCCCACTCTTAACCTTTCGTTTCACCGGGCATTCTTCGTTTAATTGCGATTGCTGCGGGGGCTTCTTTTTTTGGAGCGGCGGCAACTTTCCCGAGTTCAGGAATCTTTCCCTCGAGCTCAGAGCTCTAAGCCCAGCTTTTTACCAAATCCAAGTATAGCTGTCTTAGCCTCATGTACCTCAATTGCATCGATCCTGCTGTGGGACGTCAGGTCAATTACATCGACCTTCTTCTTTGGAAAATCTATCCCGTGTCCCGTCCGCCATGATTGCACGCCGGAAGAACTCCCAACTCATATCTTTGTCTTCACTATTAAGAGATAAATATTGAAAATTATGGACCAATCAAATTGAAGTCTTCTTTTCCAAGACTCTCTCTCCTAACACTTATAAATAGGGACCCTCCCTAAGGTGAAAAAAATCATAATTCATATTCAAGTTTCAAGTTCCAAGAGCTCTACAGAATTCTCTCAACGAAATTCAAGTGTTCTTGAAGATCCAAAGGAGTTCTTGAAGATTCGAAGGAAGATTCAAGAGCGTTCAAGTCCAAGACTGACGTTCAATCCGGAAACAAGCTGCCAAGCCTCCGAATTGCGTTATTCAAGTTCAAGTGTTTTGAAGATCCAAAGGCGTTCTTGAATATCTGAAGGAAGATTCAAGCGCGTTCAAGCCCAAAACTGACGTTCAATCCGGAAACAAGCTGCCAAGCCTCCGAATTGCGTTATTGAAGTCAAGACCGACGTAAAGAAGATCAAAATCAACTTTGCGGCGAAGACCAAGGAATCGTGTTCATCACGTTCTTGGGAAATCACAACGTTCGATTCAAGATCAAGCTATCAAGCCCTCGAAGAAACGTTATTTAAATCCATATTCAAGACCGGTGGAGATCAAACTGAAGATTCATCTCTAAAAGTCTCATATCCATTTGAAGATTGTTCTTGAAGAACTTAATCAGAGGAATAATAGAGATTTGTAATCCACTATATTTCATTTGATCCGTTGAAAAATCATTTGTACGAATTTCTCGTGTTTATTAATTTAATAATACAAAATTTTGCGTTACAAATTTCTGGCACGCCCAGTGGGACTATCTCTACCTCTCATCTCTTTTCTTCAAGATATCTCGTGCAACGATGACTCCTCCCAAGTCAACTTCTTCAAGTTCTGCAAGCAAAAGTGTTGGTGTCGTAACAAGAAGCATGGCAAAAAGCAAGAGTGTATCTCTGGAAAGAAATTCTCACCAAGTTGAAGGAAATCGGCCGCCTTTGATGAACCAAGAGGAAGATCTGAGGGACGATGCTTCATCAACACCTTTCTCAATGGAGGCACATGTTATGATGACG